ACACACATATATATATATACATACGGAGATAGATAGGGTAGGAACCCCAATATACGGACTTGTATTGTACTGCTTTTAGGTCGATAGCTATATTATGGCTATTCATATCCAACCCCTTGAGGGCCCAGCAGTCAGAGAGTCTCCGTCTCGCTCATTCCGAGTCATTGCCAGGATGGTGCCCACGGTGTAGCACCAAGACTGACGTGGGTGCATTCTGAGGTGAACGCTAAACCCTAAACCCAACGCGTGTTCTCAGAATTGCGGTTTCTTTGTGTATATGCTGTCCTGGGGCAGTGGGTAGAGATGAGAGCTTGGGGTACCAAGGGTTTCGAACCTACATCCGCAAAAAATCCCAGGTGCGTGCAGTGAGGGAATCTGGATGTGCATTTAGAGTATGGTGCATACTATGGTTGTTATTGCTCTTTTTCCTTCTGCCTCAAGTTAAGAGTCCAGCAACCAACAAATCGAGCAACACGAGGCTGGCTAAGGACTTGATGCTGGAGGGTTAGGGTTTGGGGTTTCACTCCATTTCAGCATCCATAAGCACGAGCCCTAACCTTGTCAATGGTACCTTAAGTTGAAGTTGTTCACTCATATGGGTGATGGTCAAAAGTAGGGTCACTTTTGGATGCCTGTTATAGCTTCAACCGATGATTACCCTAACTTAGGTCACAATGAATCCTTCTCAAAATTTAACTTCCAACTGAACGGAAACCTTAAGCCCGCAAATCCCAGAAAGAGCGAACCGTTTTTGCAGAAAGGAGCCCTTCCCTTGCCCTTTGCCAAGAACGAACTATGATCGCTCAGTTAGGGTGTTGTGCTTAGGGTGTAAAGGCTTACCTGTATAAGTCTTGCGCACGAAGCTTAAGCCGCGAGAAATCCTGTGCAACTTTGCGGACATCAGCACAAGTCTTGGTGGGGATTGATTATGCAAGGTCAGGCAGTAGGATTCACATAGGTCTCTAAGGTCATCAAAAGGAAAATTGAGGCTCTGCAGTGTTTATGCAGGGCTGTACGGCTATTACGGGGCTGATTGTGGTTTTCAATGAGTAGGGTTCCATACGGATTTCTCGGCAAGTCTATGGAGATGGATGTGGATTTCTGCATTCGGCTTCCTGACTTTATCAGGTTTTAGGGCTTGGGGTTTGAGTACTGAGGATAGACCGACCTACTGCAGTTGACAAAGCAACAAATGAGAGCTTCTCAGCTCGCGAAATGCTGTGGCCGCAAGTACTCGAGGCCCATGGCTAGATAGGGCTTAGGGTTTAGAGTTTATGGCCCCCCTTAAGTAGATAGAAGATGGCTTTGAGCATATTATAATAAGACCCCATATATCCCATTATCTATCTACTCAAGAGGGGCTATCGGTTCAATGCTTACGGTGAGCAATTCCGAGCCCTACCCAACCTCGAAGATCTGAACCTCTTCTCGTGCAATTTAGCCAGCCTACATCTCGCGGAGGCTCCTGTCGGGTTATGCAATATACAGACTACCATTGCGGTGAGGTCGGGCCCTCCCCCTTAACCCCGAAACCCTCAACCTTAAATCCAAAACCCTAAACCATAAGTCCTAAACCCTTACCCCTAAACCTTAAGTCCACCGAAGCCCAAAACTCTCAAAACCTAAACCCTGAACCCCTAAACCCTAAACCCTAACCCCTAAACCCTAAACCCCTAAATCCCTAAACCCTAAACCCCTAAACCATCAACCGTGCGGCCTTCATCGAGCGCAGGAAGATGCAAAAGACAGCTCGGTCCAGCTGCTCCTGGCACCTGACACCGGCCTACTGGTGACTTGCTTTAGGGTTTAGGGGTTTAGGGTTCAGGGATTTAAGTGTTTAGGGATTTAGGGTTTAGGCGTTTAGGGGTTTAGGGATTTAGGATTTAAGGATTTAGGGGTTAGGGGTTATAGATTTAGAGGTTATTAGGGGTTAGGGGTTTAGGTATTTCGGGGTCTAGGGGTTTAGGGGTTTAGGACTGCAGGGCCCCTACCCCTATTCAGATTCTACCTCCAACCAAACATGGAAGACCTGAATAGGCTCTGATGTGAGTTTGGGGAGGACCAAGTGTTTAGGGATTTTTGGTTAGGGGTTCGGGGTTTAGAGATTAGGATTGCCGGTTGATAATGTTTGTAACTAAAATCCTGGATGACCTGAATTTACAGAATTCCCAAGGTATACCCCACTTGGGTAGACGCACGATATTTAGCATCAACAGTATCATCAGCCTAAGCCTCATGGGGCTATGGTATACTCTCTTCTGAAGCAACCTGCCCTCAGGCAAAATCTCACCCTGAATGAGAGCAACCATATTCGGGTGTTGTTCATGGGTTTAAGCCCTAGTCACTAAACTTGTGATGTAAATAGTGGCTTCCCTTGGGACGATACAAAATAATGTAAAATAGGAAAAAAATCCG